ACATGAAGTAAACTCAGTTATACTGTATTATTATTATTATATATGTATATCTTATTAAAATTCTCCCAATGCTGTTAGAGAACATCATGACCATTTTAAATGAGGAAAAAAATGAGTTTCGCCCAAGGTCACTCAGGTAATACAGAGTAGAAACAATAATAGATTCTAGGCCTTCAGATTTTAAGTTCAATGTTCTGTCCTTACATCATGATTTAGCAACCTATATAATACATCTCCTTTAATAGGAAACATAAAGGACCAGAAGAGGCAGGGTTAACTAAGAGGGTGGACTAGCATGTGGAAATCAGTAAATTTCTAGAAAAGTACTTAGCAAAGACACCAGCATCTTTTTTAAGACTGTGGAAGCTGGGAAGTTTTATTAGAATATAAAACTGAAAGCAAACAATTTTGCTAGGGGAAAAAAAAAAAACAACAACGCAGAACTACAAGCAGCAATCTCCTTGGAGGGCCATTAACATCAACTATCTTACAGCCACTATTTAGCCTATAGTAGTTAGTTTTATAATCTAATCAAAATCATGTGAGGGAAATTTTATGAAAACACAAAGAAATGCAAAAAAAAAGTCTACTGAAAAGGACTTAACTACTACAATAACTAAGGCTATATTTCAACTATCTTCGCTGAATCTGTGACCTTGGATATCACTAACCCCTTCTCCTCAGTTTCTTTCTCTTGAAACTACTACAATTATAAATTTGTAATACCAAGCTGATAAGGAAATTATTAGGAATAATGTGCCTGATATTGTCTTGAAAAAGCTTTTAATTCCTCAGGATAAAATTCTTATAAAAATAAAATATTTCAAAATACAGTAACCCTACAGTGCCAACCCCCCATGCTGTCAAAAATCCACATATAGCCTTTGCCCCAAAATCTAACTAACAGCCTACTGTTGACTAGAAAGAAGCCTTACCAATAATGTCAACAGTATCAACATGCATTTTTATATATGTATTATATAATATACCCTTACCATAAAGTAAGCCAGAGAAAAGAAAATTTTAACAGAAAATACATTTACAGTATGATACATATATTTACTGGGGGGAAAAAAAAGGTGTAAGTGGACTTGTGCAGTTCAAATCCATGCTGTTCAAGGGTCGACTGTAAAAAGGAAAAGCAACCAACAGAATTTTAAGAAGTATTAGGATATAGGGGCGCCTGGGTGGCTCAGTGGCTCAGAAGGCTCTGCCTTCTGCTCAGGTCATGATCCCAGGGTCCTGGGATTGAGCCCCGCGTCAGGCTCTCTGATCCGCAGGGAGCCTGCCTCCACCTCTCTCTCTGCCTGCCTCTCTGCCTACTTGTGATCTCTGTCAAATAAATAAATAAAATCTTAAAAAAAAAAAAAAAGTATATCCAACTATCAACATAGTTTGTTAACTACTTACAAATTAATGAATTTCTTCTAAAAAGGCCTTGGATAAGCTTAAGTTCTTTGGCTTTAAGATACCTTTTAAGATAACTGAATCTAAATCCTATCCTGACTCTATTTATCTAGCCAAGTAAAAGTGATGCTTCTCCTTAAAATAAAACTTACCTCTTACCAATCTTTGTGTTCAAGACATCTTTCTTCTCAAAGAAAAAACACAACCAAAAGATCATACTAAAAAGTACTGCTTTTACAGTATGGAGAATGCTTTGGGGGTGTTTGGACGCAGATGGGATCATATGGTCAAATAACTGAAGAATATTTTTAATCCTACCCTCTAGTAAGTCATCAGTCTAAGAGTTAAAATAAGACCCTCCAAGGAGCAGACTCCCCATTTTGTTACTTAAGGTCATGACCTGCTTCCTACCTCTCTACTTTTACCACTTGTTACACTATGATGGAAGGCAGGAAGTGGCTCATGTAATTGGCCCATTTCCAGGCTAGGAGCAAATCTGGTGATAAATTAAATGATCAGGAAGCTGGTGGGATAAACCGTTCAAGTTCATTGCTCTTCTGAAGCTGCTCTCATACAAAAGTTATTTGAAAATCACATTAAGCCTAAAGCTAACCTGCATTCTGTCCTTGCCTTTTCCTTAGATAACTTTTTCTTCTAATTTTAGAAACTGTGAAAGAAATACAATGTCACATGAACACCTTCTCGCATCCAACTTTAGATGACATTGATTTGTCAGTCTTACTATTTCAACATGGAAGTGAATTTCTGAAGCTGTAGATAAGAAATTCTGGACGCTGCTGTTCTTCAAAATAAGGAAGACACATGCAGAACAAACAACTGATTGTTGATGTGGACATCTGGATAAACTAAAACTCAGAGAATAATGTAACCCTAATGCAATATATAAATTCAGGAAAAAAAAAAGAAAGAAAACATATAAACGTTTGAAGAAATGGTATATGCTATTCCACTTTCACTGAATAATTTAATAAGAAGCCACAGGCTCCTGAGAAATCTCTGAGATGACTGTAAACTAGCCTGAATTTTCAAAAAGCAAAAGATTCAGGCACGAGATAAGAGAGAGCAGAATATTACTTGAAAAAGTCCTTAAGTGCATGTGCTCTTGGTGGGTCAAAAGTCCTTCAGTGCCACAGTTGTTTATAATACTGTTATTTAACAATGGCAGACTTTACTAACTAAAATGCTTTATACACGTTAATAAAGCTGAGTCTAAAATGGGGAGTACTAGAAAAAATATGGCTATATGGATGTTCCTCTGACATAAAAACCATTTTTAAAGTATCTTACAGCACCAGATTTGTAAAATAATGCCTGCAATAGCTCTATTCAAAACAAGATCCAAAAACAGTGGAACGGACAAACAGTGATAGTCTCACCACTAGAATATTCTAGAGTTGTACTGTACGATAAGGTACATCAATGTTAATAGCTAGCCACATGTGGCTATTAAGCCCTTGCATTGTGATGATGCTGTGGTTTGAGATATACTTTAAGCATAAGACAGAGAGCAGACTTCAAAGACTTACCATGAAAAAAGAGTAAAATATGTCGACTTTTTGTTGAATTGTTATTTATGAATACTCGGATAAATAAAACATTAATTTACTTGTTTCTTTTTAAATAGGCTACGGGAACATTTTAAACTATACATGCGGCTCATATTTTGTTTCTTTTGGGCAGTGCTGCTTTAGAACAATGAAAATGAATGAACTATAGGTACATGAAACAATTGGCATAAATCTTACAATCACGACTTGAATGAAAGCCAAGTAAAACTGGAACTAGTATTTAATGATGTCAACAACAAAACACAAACCACCACAGACGTGATTACCATAAAAACCAGGCAGTGGCTGCCATGGGGAAGAGAAAGGAGCTTGTGAAAGAGAGGGGCTATATGGAACCTTCTCTAGTGCTGAGAATAGTCTATTTGTGACCTGTGTGTTGGGGTTCACTTTATTAATCTACACATTCATATTTTATGTACTTTTCTATATGTTTTATCTCACAATTTTAAAAGTTTTCAAGAAACAACCTTAAACTTACTTTCCTTAAACATTTATTTATTTATTTTAAAGATTTTATTTATTTATTTGACAGAGAGAGATCACAAATCAGGCAGAGAGGCAGGCAGAGAGAGAGGAGGAAGCAGGTTCCCTGGTGAGCAGAGAGCCCGATGCGGGGGTCGATCCCAGGACCCTGAGATCATGACCTGAGCCGAAGGCAGCGGCTTAACCCACTGAGCCACCCAGGCGCCCCTCCTTAAACATTTATAATCACCAAAATTAATTTTGCCATAATTAAAGACTTTGAAGAAACCTAAAAGAATAGAGTTAAGTGACTGGTCCTATATCTCATCAATATAACCAAAGAAATGTAAAATGTAAAGAAATGTAAAAATGATAGGCCCAAGAGCTGCTTAGTCAAGCCTATGCTACATTCTTCAATGTATTTTTGAATATTTTAAAAATTATGTCTAAATGTTTTTAAAGCACAGCAACCTATAATTTAACTGTATTATTTATCCTGTGTTAAGTACCCTATGAAATAGGTGGTGGGTGTAGTTCTGACAAGTTGCACATATATTCTTGTAAGTCAATATATTTGCAATGCACAAAATAAGCAGCTGATAAATGTGTTTACAAATAAATGAGATAACGTTCCATGTATAAAAATTTAAAAAAAAATTTTTTTGAGATTTCTTATACACAATGATAGTCATCTCCTAAATTCTCTCTGAACAAGTTGTAATATTTTTCTAAGAATAATTATAATTTATTTTCCTCCTATGAGGCATCCTGTCAGAAATGTCCTGCTTTGGGAGTGCCTGGGTGGCTCAGTTAAATGTCTGACTCTTGATTTCAGCTAAGGGCATGACCTCAGGGTTGTGAGATCAAGCCCCAGGTCAGGCTGTGTGCTGGGAGTGGAGTCTGCTTAAGAGTCTCTCCCTCTATCTCTGCCTGACACCACCCCCCCAACTAAAAAAAGGATGGAAGGAACAGAGGGAGGAAGGGAGGGAAGGGAGAGAAAAGAGAAAGAGTGAGAGAGGAAGGAAGGAAAGAAGGAAAGGAAAAAGGAGAGTGAGAGAGGAAGGGAGAGAAAGAAATGTCCAGCTTTAGAAAATAAAATTTAAAAGAAAAGGAAAAAAAAATTGGAGTATGTGCAAGTCAGTTTACTGATAAAAGCTGACAAAGGTGAATTAAATGACTAAGTCCGTGTTTCTTGTAACAAGTATCTAGTATCTGATGAAATTTTCCTAAATGAAAAAGTGTAAGAGACAAATTTCAATAAATGAGAAATTTTCCGAGCACAAAAGGCTTGGTATCTAGTAGAATACACAAAACACTTCAAAAGAAATATTTTAGGATGCAAAACTAAACTTAAAAATCTCAGTATATCAACTATACTTCAGTAATAAAAACAATTTAATTTTTTTTAAATCTCTCTTGTCTACTTAAGAGCAATGCTGATGACCTAAAATCACATTTAATTCATTTTTATGCAGAAGAACTGAATTTATAAATGAAAAAGAATAAGAGAAGAACTTTACAGAATGAATGTCTGTAACTCACCGTGAACTTGGTTGATTTCTGAATTCTGGGAAAGAATTTCATCTGCTAATTTCTGAGCAGTTGGCAAAACTTCTGTGTGATGCACTGTGATCAAATACTGTACAAACTTCTGTAGTTGGTCTCTATTCATTTGAAAGAGAGTCTCTGAAATGGGAAGATGCAGTTTGACCTGATCTGGCTTGCGGATGCGGTATAAAGACAGTGCCACAACATGAGCACAATAAAATATATCCTTGTTTCCACAGCTGCAGGTCACTGAGGTAATCTTGCAACGATCAAAGCTGATGGCCACGTTGCAAACAGTTTCTGGCTCCGATTGTATTGCAGGTTCTGTCACTGTGCCACTCAAGTGGAAACCTATGTGAGAGAAAGGGAAGAGAGAGTTTAGCTGCTGCCTTCAGATGCTATAAAGGATTTCTAATTCTTTGAAATGCGTAGTACTTGACAGCTCCAAGAAAAAAAAAATGACAGTTTTTATTTTCAAGTAAAAACATTCAGGCCACTCAAATATCCTCCGCACCTCCCCTTCTCCACATCTTACAGGTAAAAAAAGAAATGGTATTCAACAGACATGCTGAAGTACTTGACATAGCCTTACAAAACCACTTATAGCAATACGCCGCCATCACACCTACAGGAAGTTGTTAGTTCACAGCACTAATAAGCCATAATTACTCCAAAACTGTGGTATACCTGACAAAAATCAGTGGTTTTCTTCCTTTTCTTTTTTAAACTTTTCCAAGTAGAGTAGGCCAGCTTGGTTTTCTACTGAACAAACTCTCCCTTCCCTCCACCTTTATTCCAGGCAGACACTAGCATCCTCCAACCAAAAATGCAACTCTGGGGTGGATTTTTCACACACATTGATAAGATAAATTTGTTTATTTAATAATCCTTTGTGTAACATGCATGACATATGCCCCAATACAGCAATGTCCATTAGCAATGTCTACTGGTGGAACTGCAAAGCCCACCAGACCTCATACATACCACAGTCTAAGTAACTCACAATAAGCTGATACACATGTAAGTTTGTTAAATGGGCTCACACACACCCATGCACACACGCACACACGCGCGCGCACACACACAAGCATACAAAATCGCCAAGTGGAAAGGGGCTTCACAACTTAAACTTAGAACTATACACAAATCCTCCACATCCTCCCTGACCAACAAGCCATGTGGCCACTGCTTATAATGTTTCAGACATGGGACATTCACCCCCCGCACACAACAACCTCCCCTACCCCCAACCCTTGGATAGCCATAGGAAGAGCTCACAGACTTCTGAAAATTGCCTCCCACCACATTGCCAGCATTCAGTCCTGGCCTGTGTAGCCAGTGGACAAAACTTCCTCCTTACGTTTCTATAAATATGTAGAAAGCTAATCCTAAATTGGGGGGGGGGACTTCCCCTCAGTTCCACCTCTTTCTCTGATAGCCAAATTCGGAGGTAAGGGCTAAAGGAGATCACTTGGGGAAACTTCTGGACACTGATCTATCTCAAGATTTTGGGTACCTGACAGAAACCTAAGCTCCAAAAGGAAGCCTCTGGCTCTCTTTCAGCTTTCCACTATCTATGCTACTTGACTAAAGTTCACTGAGCAGGTCACTGTTTTCATTCACAAAGAGAAAGAGTTTTACCATGTGGGAAACCTGAGAGGAATGGCAGACATAGAACATGACAATGACAGCCAGATGATGCCTAAGATTCACAGGTGGGGGGGCACCTGAACCCTACTTACTATCTTCCCCAAGGGATGATAACCAGGCCAGAGAGTACTCACTACTCAAAGAAATCTTTCAGAGTAATATAATTTCATCCTAATAATTCATATATAATAACATAGTGGAAAGAGAAACATGTGGTAATAATCTTTACCAAATTAATCAATTTAAAAAGAACAATCCCTGAAGTTACTAATAGTAACTTCATGACAAGAAATTTATTGTAATATGATAACTTTCGTTTTTCTTACAAAGGGATTATCTGTTTCAGAATGAGTATTCCAGTCTCCTTTGCCTCTTTCAGTCAAGAAGTTTTTTGAAAACAAGAATTAAAGATACATAGTGATATAAAATTGTATTTTTGAAAAATTTTTAATGATTTTTTTCCCATGAGGAAAGTCACAGGAAAAAGTAAACACACAAGAAAATTTCAAAAGTGAAGAATAATAAGGGAAACTTACCTTGTTATATATACCAGACGTATTATAAGCATACAGTAATTTAAAATCCACAGGACAGGCACAGATTAAGATGGAAAAAACAAACAGTGGATCGTACAAGACAATTCAAAAAGTTCTCAAGTATATTCTATACGTTTAGTGCAAGGGATCTCAGTATTTTCCACCCGTAACATACATATATGTGTACAAAGAAACCAGTAATCACTATGGGGAAAGATTTATCATAAATTGACCATTTATAAAATTGATCCTTCCCAGCTTATTATCTTTCCTAGTCCACCAAAGTCAACATCTTTGTCTCTCCATGAAAGTAATATTGGAGAACTTCTCCTATCACAGGCAAAATCAAGACAATTGAAGATCCAAGATCTAGACTAGTTAGTATTTAGTCTGTAAGGGGATAACTTAACAGGTGCTTCAAAACAGGCTGATTTAACTACCAAAGAAGAGCCCCTTAAGAAAAGTGATGAATCCTTCACATAGTTTTACAGAAAACTGTTTCAGATGTATAAGTTAGAAAGAAGTAAAGTATATTGAATGCTGCTATCATGAAATGATGCCAAAGGTAAAACTCACTATTCAGCTTCATTACAACAAATATTTACTAATCTCATACAGTCTTTTAAAAAGTAAATTATAGAATATTGTGACTGCCAAAACAATTTAATTCGAGGGGATATATGCGAGCACACATAAACATATACATGTCTTACAGAGTAACACTTAATCTGATATCATCAAAGATTAAGATTTTTTTTAAAGATTTTACTTATTTATTTGACAGAGAGAGATCAGAAGTAGGCAGAGAGGCAGGCAGAGAGAAGGGGGGAAGTAGGCGCCCCACTGAACAGAGAGCCCGATGTGGCTGGATCCCAGGACCCTGAGATCATGACCTGAGCCAAAGGCAGAGGCTTAGCCCACTGAGCCACCCAGGCGCCCCAAAGATTAAGATATTTCATGAATGTTCATTTTCTAAGCAATTCTAGACACCTTTCAAGTACCCAAACTCCTTTAAAAATTCCAACCAATTTTCTTAGAAAGATTTCCTAAAGTCGTAAGTTCTACCTTGCCACCCTAATCAGCTGACCATCTGGTGTTACCAAGTGATGGGGGCAACACTCCCTATAACAGGTATCTGCAGGAGACAGTATTTTTTAAGTGGGCTTTTTGTTACTTTTTTCCACTATCAGCCATCACAAGATCTCCTCTCCCATACAGTTAGTCTTTTTCATAGAAAATTCTTTGCCCTCAGGCCAGCTGTGCCTCTAATTTGACTAGTTTTGTGGCAGCTATTCAATACTTTGGGGTTATTTGTATGGGGGTTCTCCCATTTTACCTTTAGGTTAGGATGGGTGATGTTGCTAGAGGTGATTGACTTCACTTTAAATAAAGGAAAATTACATACACATAAGTAAGTGCTGGTATGTTATTTTATAAGACTATGCAATACTAAGTCAGTATGCAGGAACTTCATCAGGCCTCCTTTTAGGATTGTGTGGTCCTCCTGATTTGAGAAATCTTTGAAATCCCAACTCACTCTCAGCTGGTCCTCAATCATGCCAGAGCACCCACAGAGGAAACAACAATACTCCTCCCTCAACAATGCCTAGACAGCTACATAAGCCATCCTTCCTCCAGCCCTTACTCCCTACCCACAGCTGGTCTTGTCTCTTGGGTTTCTGAAACAAAATAATGCTCCTAAAAATGGATTTTGCCTTTCTGGAGTTCAGATATACTTTGATGACCCACTGTTGTAGATTCACAAATACAAAAATCTCTTTCTGGTATAGTTAACTGTTCTGTATGACAGAACTGAGGACAAAGAAAGGGGCAATTCTGCACTTCGTAGTAAAACATGGGAAATTAATTTTCAAAGAACTAAAACTGAAAAAATTACATAAACCTTTTCTTATGTAAAACCTTTTCTTATGTAAAAATTACATAAACCTTTTCTTATGTTTCTTATCTTAAACGTATTTACTTGGCTTTCCAAAATACAATCTGTCAAAGATAGTTAATCCCATAAGAGCAAACCTCACAGGGCAAATTGTCTCATCACCATCGGGTTTTATCAGTGAGCCTCAAAAAACATTTGTATCCACATTCTCAATCTCCAGACCAAAGAAAAACAAAGCAAAAACCAAGGCACGGCACTGTAAAAGCTTTGGTAATAGAGGCATTTTGATTCCCGTCAAGCTCTCTCACTTAAATGCTGTATGCTCTGGACATGTTATTTAACCTCTCTGAGTCTTCCTCTATTCGTTTGCAAAATGTGGCTAGAAACACCTCCTCGGGTTGTTTTGAGGATTTAAATGAAATAACATATGTAAAGCACCTGGCACATAGTAAAAGTGCTCCTTAAATTTTATTTCTCTTTCCTTCCTTTCCCAGCTGGAGAATAGGGGAGGGGTGTAGGACACATTCCCTTCATGTACAACACTTTTTTTTTTAATCTTTGCTACTGGAATCTTGGAGGGGGGCTGGAGGTCTCACTTGAGAAATGGCTTGTGACATAAGCGTGGCCACTGAAAATGTCTGAGGTAAGTGAGTTGGATGACACTAGAGGGATCACTGCTGTTTGACAACAAAACCGAACATCTTCAGAGTCAGTTACACCCTTGTTTAATTCAGCTTTCTTTCCCCATTTTTCTATTAAGTTCCACCAACACAGTTGATTTTGTGAATGAGTATTACTTTATACACAGAGAAACCAGAAAACAAGAGGGGAGAGATTTATTTTGTTTTAGTACCCATACACATTTCTACAAAGTTATAATGCAGCGATTCTCAAAATGTGGTCAGGATATACCCACAGGATCCCCAAAACTCTTTCATGGGTTCTTAAAGATCATTTTTTCCCCATAATTCTATCTAGACGTCACTGACCTTTTAAACTCTCCCTCCCAAGCATACATTTAATTTTCCAGAGGCTACAGGATGTGTGATATCACA